ATCCCATGCTTTTTTCCGTCCATATTTTTTATGGGCGGGGGAAATTGACAGAAAATCCATATCTCCATCATTCCCCATAAACCATACTTTTTTGAGGCCAACCAGCGATGAAAAACCCATACTTTTGGGTGATGTAGATTCAGACTGGTGAACAAGAGTTTGAAATTCCTTACTGTACAACTTACTTTTGTCAGCAATACACCCACAAACACACAAATCAACACACAAACTCCACCGCATAAAGATGATTCCTAAAGACCTAACAAAGTTCACCCTCGCGAATATTCAAGAAGGTTTCGATCGGCTGAAATCTGAAAATGATCGACGTATGGGTCCACTACGAGACCTTTTGAGCCAAGGGAAGGCGCTTTCAAAGGCAGACGAAGATTTTATCGATAACGCTGGAAATATGGTTGATGAGGCTCTTGTCCTTGAGAAAATAAAAAATAGCAACAATGTCTCTGATGCTGCTAAGACCTTCAGCAAAGATGAGCTGAAGACATTAGAGGTCTTGATTTATAAGTTTGAGCACAAGGTTTTTGTGGACCCATCTGTAGCTAAACCTCGTGAATATCTCTTTGCAAACACTTCTAAAGCATCCAATATGTATGGTGAAATCTGATCCCTATGTATTGTTCAACACCCAGGTCCCAAGAAGCGAAATCGAGACGATCCTTGTGTTGAATCTTCCAATCAACCAAACTCGAGTTCTTCTAAAAAAACCCGATCAAAGTCTGCTCGTACTAATGCCACTCTGGCTCAGCGTATATTAGTGTTAGACTGGCACAATAAAAATGGTCGAGTTCAGGTCAAGACAGCAAAACATTTTGAAAATAGTTTTCCTGGTGTTATCATAACACAACCTCTAGTCTCGAGTTGGGTACATAATGAATCGAAGTTACGAGATAGTTACGAGTCTGGTGTAGGACTTGGCATTAAGCGGAGAAATGAGACTGAACATCCTCAAGTAACAGAAGACCTACAGACTTGGGTTCAACAGGCTGACATTGCCGGACTTCCACTTACCGGAGATGTGATACGAGCCAAGTGGCGTCACTTCGCAACACTTTTCAAAGTGCCTCAAGCAGAGTGGCTTAAGCTCAGTGAAGGCTGGCTGACCAAGTTTAAATTACGTAACGGTCTTAGACAAAGAGTCAGACACGGCGAGGCGGGCTCAGCTACTCCGGATAAGGTCGTTGCAGAACGAAAACGAATCCAGGATATCACCAAGTCCTACCATCCTAGAGACATCTATAACATGGATGAAACAGGATTGTTCTATGCGTGAGAACATTTGTACTGTAACATACTTTTGATCTTTACTAACAAGCCTCGATTTCTCAACACGTACTGTAGAATGCCACCAGACCGAGCCTTGTCTAAAGACAAACAATCAGGTGTTAAAGGTGATAAGCGACGCTTGACCTTTGCACTCACATGTAATGCAGATGGAACAGACAAGCTCAAACCGTTCATCATTGGAAAAGCAAAGCGTCCAGCCTGCTTCCACAAAAAGTCCGGCGAAAATCTTGGATACTACTATCGGAGCAATGCAAAGGCATGGATGACATTTGAGCTGTTTTCAGAGTGGATTATAGACTGGGACATCAAGTTATCGGCAGAAGGTCGTTCTATATTACTCTTAGTTGACAATTTTTCTGGTCATAAGGAGCCTTCCGAGTACAAACTTACCAGTATTTGCCTTGAGTTCTTTTCTCCAAACCTTACATCACATGTTCAACCGCTGGATGCTGGCATAATCGCATCATGGAAATGTCGATATAGATCTGAATACATTACATATGTGATCAATCGCTATGAAAATGAAGTCCCCATTGGAACAATCTTCAAAATCAATCAAATCGACGCTATGGAGCGAGCTGAAAACTCTTGGAATGAAGTGACTCAAGATACAATTTCAAACTGTTATAGGAAGGCGGGTATCATTTCCCCTCGAAATCCCGATGGATCTTTGCTGCAGGATCCAAACTCAGCGGATGCGAGTCTCAACACGGAGCCTTTGATTGATGATGTTGCTCATCAGGATCTTGAGCAAGACCTTCAAGAATTGATCTCCTTACGAGTTGTTCACAAATCAAACATGATGTCTATTAGCGAGCTCTTAAATCTTCACGGTGAGCATGCAAGCGGCCTTGAAACCTGGACACCCGAGGAAATCTTTGAATCAATTCAGGAACGTGACAGTCATGAAGATCTCCCTCAACCCGAGCACATTGAAGTTGAAGTACCTCCACAACCATCATATTCTGACTTACTGAAATCAAGTGATGTTGTAATGGCATACCTCAGGCATGAAGAATGCAAGGAAGCGAGGGCTTGCGGAAAAACCCTTCGCCGAGCGTTGCGGCAGTTTAGTTCAGCACATTCAAAGAAAATGAACCAATCAAATTTGAAGCACTACTTCTCATCCAATCCTTAAATCTTCCCGCTTTTTGTTCTACTTCACTATTTACTTTGCTTTGAAATAAAAATTGTTTTTTAAAAAAAAATCTCTCTCCTAACCCATATTTTACCCCCAAAATAAGATTTATGGGTTATCAGAGAGATCCCCATAGGACATACTCCATCAAAACCCATACTTTTTGGTGTCCATAAAACGGTATGGGTTATTGGAGAGACGACTGTAACGATTTTCTGCAGATCATCGAGTGCGTGAGCGCTTGTTTGACAGCCTGGCCTGATCAGAAATGGCCGCGGCTGCGTCGCGCACGGACCTTCATGTTTTTTCGAAAAACCAACATTTCATTCTTTATGGAATTGACTGTATTCAATCAATTCCATCATCTAATCCTCAAAGCTGATCGGTTTCTACTAATTCTAATACTTCTCATCTTTGAATCAGATTAGAATGTATGCCTGATAGGTAATTAACAAGAACTGTAAGTTCATGTCGGACAGTTTCAAATGCATCAATCAGAGTAAGTTTTCATTTCTAAAAGAAAGTTGAATCGATTGACTGATGTAAATGTTGATGATAGTTGGGTTTTCTTTTTAGACAGCTTTTGTGATTGTACCTTGCGATTTAGATTTCCAGTCTAAATCAAATGAAACCGAATCGACTTTTCGATGTTCTTCATTTCATTTAATTGACAATTTCACTTGAAGATACGTCTTTAGAAAACGCCGAGAAGTTAGCAATCTTTCCATTGAATATCAATATAAAAGTTTGATTTGATTTCAGGTCAAGCGAGACGGAAATATGATACCAAGAGTCAAAAAAACTTCAGTGTTTTACTTCAAAATGAATCGGAAACCGTATACTTTAACATAGGCCACACGTCAGTTACTCAACAAATCTATGCAGCAAACCAATTCATTTTGACTAATCAACTTGAACAATGCTTACAAAACAAAAACAGAACAATATCATCTGTTCACTACTGGAATCTCTCTAGGCTGTGAGTTGGGTCTTGATCTTATCTTTCCTCATCAATATCGAATTACAATATACTATACTAGCTATCAATGGCTAATCTATCATTATTCTGAATAATCAGATCGGCTACTCACCTTCATTCATTACACTCGCAACCTTCAATCGGAAGATCAAGATGGAGGTTAAGATTACACAATTAAGACTGAACTCTCAGTTTCACTTCAAGCTAGGTTTACTCAAAAGGGTTTCAACTGTGACTTAGTCGCAGTATTTGGATCATAATCAAGTGGAAGGAGTATGGCTTAATTATATACCCTTCCAATCAACCTATCTTGTTTTGAAACTGAAATCTAATCTTTCTTTTTTGACCATAAAGGTACCCTGTTGAACCGAGCGTTTGGTATTACAATCGAGGACATGGATGAGCATGGATGAGGGTGATTAGTGAAGGTTTGCCATAGACCTATCACATTTGTAACTCCAAGAATTTGATGCTTCAGGTTAAGTAGACAGAAGAATAGAAGTAGGTCAATTGATTTCCATGTACTCGGAACCTTTTGATCCTTGATTGCAATCTAATTCCACATATAGGAATCTCCCTTGGCAATCCATCTACAACGAGGACCCAAGGCTCAGCTGACGGCTCCTCTGGCACCAAACTCTTCTGGGCCGAACCAATTCTCTTCTGAAGGTCTCATCCGCGCATGTCAAATGCTTATCCCACGACACATACCAATGAACACCTGGATTCAGCCTGCTTTGCTGCCCTTCCAGACTTCAGTCGGCCCCCGAGCCCTAGGCTACATTCTTTACCCAATAATACTTTGAATTCCCTGGGCCTCTTGGCAGAGTAAGTCGATTGACATCATCTATCTTGAGAAAAACTCGGTTACAAGGTACTGATCCACCACACACTCCTACTTATGACTTGCAGAGCTTCCCTGCGCAAAAGACACAATCGGCATAGATCTGATTGTAGTTCGAGCGGGTCTCACAGACGAACATCGCCTGTGCGGTCTATGCCACCGGATCAACGCACTCTATCAGCCCTCGACGAGCATGACGTGTCACGACATCACATTGCTGAAGAGTCAGAACCAATGGGACAAGATGATGACAATTTGTCTCAGTGCTCTTCGGCTTTGAGTCTACAGGAGCCGACATCTGCTGTGGCTGACAAGTCTAACACGAATCATCATCATAGTAGCAAGACTCATAAACGCAAGGTCGGAGTCGCAAACCAATCATATTTTCAACCTGCTCCAAGACATACCTTGCCACTCCGACGAATTGTCATTGGACAACGAGCTCCCCCTGCTTTACTGACAGACAAGATATTAACTAATGAGGAAGCTATTGAATTATTCCAGATCTTTTTTGACAAATGCAACCCACAGTATGTCTTTAATAGATCTCTTGCAGATTTCACAACACTATCTCTTGGTCAATTCCACATTTTAAGGTGAACTTTCTAATCTTACCTCTATGATTATTGTAGCTGCTGTATTCTCGAGCAAGACTTTCACACACCTACAATAGTCGGATCTTGTTCGCCGTTCTTATTCACCTTCATCTGTGCTGTGGCATCTCGATACTATGCAAAATGTCAAAAGCTATATCTCAATTGTCTCAGGCTGAAAAGCGCATTGCTTTTGATGTGATGGTCAAAGGCTATAAGTCTGTAGGAGTCATTCAAGCACTCTTATTATTGACCCTTTGGAACAAACCCGCAGAAAGGTTTGAAGAGGACCATACATGTGAGTTTTTGGCACAATACCCCGATGCTTGAAACTATTAGCGCCTTTGACATCACACAGGGGCCTTCTCTGGTATAGATATCTGTATGGTAGTGGATCTGAATCTTCACAGGAAAAGCGCCGTGCAATTGCCATTTGCAGATTCTCAGTCGCAAAAACCCATTCCTGACGATTCATCTATACAGCAAGAACACTACGAGAAAGAGATTCTGAACCGGCAAAGAACCTGGCTTTGTTGCTTTATTATTAATTGCTCATTATCAGCCCAGATGGGAAAACCATACACAATTTGAGAAGATTTCATCATTAGTTCTTCAAAACGTTGGCATAAACATCGTGCCTTGGTCCCAGACGACTCTGGGATCACAGCTATGGTGGATCTACATTGAATACACGTACATAGCTTAGAATTGTTCTATAAGATTATCAATGATTGAGTATTCAAATGTCTACAGTCAAGATCTCTGGATTTGCTATATTCTCATACTGGTACACCCTCAGGCTTGAACGCCAATCTAGACTACTCTTTATTGATGAAGACCTTTTCTCAGTAAGCCGCCTCTTGGGTACTGATCTTCGCAGTTGATGGGCTGATTACCAATCATATGCATCCCAATAGGTCACTAGATCAATGGATGACCGAGGTTATGTCAAATTGTTCTTGTTAGATTTCTTTCCAGACTGAAGGAACTCTATCTGTTTCTTAGTGCACCATTCGTACCCTTGACAATGAGCTTGATCGCCCGGGTGGATACGGACATAGCATGAAGGAGTTTTATTACAATTACTATGTGATGTCAATTTTGATGATAGCTCTTTGTTGTGTACTCGCCAACTGACTTTGCCTTCTTGATACTGCTTGTCACAGATTATTCACCATGAGCTTTATGCTACAACACACAATAGAAAACCCTGACAAACAAATTGAGCTTCCGCAATACGTTTGATGATGATTTTGCTTGTTATATCATGCGATGATAGACTCACAGTCCGTCTAACTGATTATACAGTGTCTACCTGACCTGTTACGACGCTGCGACACGAGTGATCACTATGGCACAAGATCACTTGGACCTCTAGGTGCTTTGTGATATGCACCCAACAGTCAATTTGTATACATTGCTTATGCTGCAGTATTCTTACTGAAGGTACGCGGAGTTTTGAGGCCAAATCCAGAAAATCAACTGCTGATACCATATCTCTGAATGACCACAGTTTAGCTCCACGTGTGACCCGTTGGCAGTCACAATTTTAGTCTATGACTGTACAGTGCTCTTAGAAGAGGTTTTGGTGGATGAGAAGCACATGCCAGCCCTGTATGCGGCCTTTTTGAAAGTGTTGTTGAATAGCAAGAAAGGAACTTCAGCATCTCCCAAAGACACAGATCATTCACAACCGTCCACTTCCACGCCTCTTGATCCCGGTGGATACAAGGACCCCAACTAATTCAACTTCGAACAAGGCAGTTGATAGCGAAGATTGTGGTTTGCAATCTGACTAGCACTCAGTTGCCACACAGCGCAAAGGTTTACCGGTTAATACTGCTCCGGACAGAGTTGATCATATCACAGGTGTCCCATTTCCGCCTGGAAATCAATTGGACCCAGCTTTTGGATCTTCATCCGAGCTTCCGTCTAATGTCAATTGTCCAATACTACCATTTGACCTACAACCATTCGAGGGTTTTGTTGCGGAGAACGATTAACCACAAATGAACAATTGTCTTGTTGATACATTATTGGAAGATGGTGGATTTTGGGATTCGATTTTGATGTGTTAGTGATTTTCTTTTTCTTTAACCCTGAAAGAAATTGATTCAAAAGAAAGCTTGATTTACATAACATTTATTGCTTTGTCCTTCAATTTAGCTGGATATTCTGGACCATTATATGCACTTTCAGGTGGAGTTGGATTAGTTTTGCAATTTAATTCACATGATCAAATCGGATTTGGATTTACACCTACTGGATCTGGTAGAGCTACACCTAATCATTTTTTGAATCATACACAACATCATGGGAATGGGAATGGGAATAGGAATCTAAATGAAAATTCAAATGAACATGTTTAAGAAAAACATCAAGGTGAAAAATGAGGACGTTATGTGTATTATTTGGTTTGGTTTAAAGCATTTATTATGTATTCATTTTGTTAGAAACAAAAGTATTCATTAGATGAGAACAAGTTTGAAAAAGTAGTGAAATATGATGATAGTTTATGAAACAAAAGATCATGTGAAGCATAATATGAACAATGTCTGTAAGGTGTAAATTCACTGATGGTTCAGAATAGTGTGAAGATGCAGAAAAGTTTTTAAACCAGAGAAGGTTGGGAGGATATGAAAAAACGGTATGTTTCCTCAATTGTAAGACATGACGAGGGGAATACCCAGCAGAGAGATCATGATAAACTTTGAGTTTATGACTCTTATATGGGCTTATCACCACAAATAACATTGTATGTAGAATCACTCTCTTGCTTCCATAAATAACTGGTTTTGAAAAGATCCAACAAAAATTTTGCCTTGAGTTTTTGAAGCTTGCTTTCTAGCCAATCATCAAGAGTGATGGTTTGAAACCAACTTCAAATCCTTGCACAGGAAACACGAGATGATTTTGCCATGGGAAAACCAATTGTCGTTAACTCAGTTAATGAGCCAAAATGTTTTGTTTTGGCATTATATCTGTGTTTTTTCTATGTTTTGGCTCAGAAACTTCAGTCTTCCCATGGGAAAATCCCGTTTTGTTTCCTGTGTTGGCCCATTGCCATTGTTTTTGAGGACACCTGGTAAAAGACATTGAAAGAAGACTTTACACTGTGATCATATATCATTGAACCTGATGAAGAACAAAAGAAAGATAATTTGTATTAGTAACGCTAAGATCTTGGATTTCAACCCAATCTGTTTAAACTCATTATTAGTCCAGATTGAAGAAGATCTCTCCAAATTATATGCCATGAACAAATCAATCGACCCAATCAAGTCCAAGAAGAACTCCCAAAAAGACAATATTGGACTCTTATCAACATTGACCTCCTACTGGTCTTGCTTTGGCTGTAGCATCCAATACAATTGTAAATGGATCATCAGTCATCCCAGGTGAGAAAGCAATCATTCCAGGTACATCAAATCCATACCAGCTCAGTTCTTAGCAAAACAGTGGATATCAACCAATGTGAATATCTTTCATTTTCCACAACCTGTTTTATTTATATATTTGTTTTTGTTCAATTTGAGTATCCACCCTAAAGAAAAGCCAGAATGCAGGGAATCAGCATGTACTCAAATTATTAATTCAACAAAACAACTAGACACTTAGCAAAAGATCAGTCATATGAGTAGACAATTTATTCGCACATTCAGAATTGATATTTTGTTCAAATTTGCTGGATTTTGTTTGTAATGATGTTGTTCAGATCATGGCTACCATACCTTTGCTTGTTTGCATCTCTAATTGTTTTGTGGACTTTTCCACATTTTTGGTTTCAAACCTCTCTTGCCTCAAAAGGCAATTTTGCCGCTTTTGCTGTCTGGTTCTTATGGCTTTTTAGTTTCTGTTTGTGACTTGTGAAAAAATGATGTTTGCTTCCTTTTAAGTGTGTTAGACTTTGTTTGCGCCACTGGTTGTTTTTCTTTATATTGTATTTTGAAACACCTCCTTGCACAGTATGCCATGTCCTCCATTTTCAAAACTTGCAGCAGTGTTACATATGGTAGAGGTTGTGTGCAACCCATTTACCTTTTCCCTTTGCTCAATACGTAGAGCTTTTGCTCAATACGTAGAGCTTGTTGGTCAAAATGTGGTATTTATTCTGGCTGAGAGCGGCGCCCGCCGCCCCCAAATGGCTAGTGTATATATATCAATAAAGACAGACAATCAAAACTGAACAACCAATTCTTTTTGGGAATTTCTCAATGCCTCCCACAGGCTACACCAATGTAGGCACTCTCAAAGGAGCTCTTAGACAGCTCCTACAGCTATTTTTGGCAAATTTGCAATGTAGGCGCTAGATTTCTGGAAACTACATCAATTTTCTTCAAATATTCAATTTAGGCACTAGTTGTCTGGCGCCTACATGTATTTCTAGGTATGTATGTAGGTGCCAGTCTCCAGTGCCTCCATGATAGTTGCTGGAATTTGGCACCCACTATGAGTCATACACAGAATCACAGATGTCAAAGTTAATTTGTGGTATATAAAAGGTAGAGATTCAAACAGATGGTTGTTCATTATCTTGTAACATCAAGCACTATACAAATAATAAAGTGAAAAGATTAAGAAATAATATATGAGAGAAAAAATGAAAAAACATCTATGAGTTGTACACAGAATCACAAATGTCAAAGTTAGTCTGGTCATAAAAGGTGGAGCTTTCAAAAGATGAAATGAAAATCATTCAAACATCACACAGGATGATCAGACACAACAGTAACTGGCACATAAAACAACACCATATTAACATCACAGCCCGTACATAATATTTGATAAAATATGTACACAATGAGATAATCAAATGACCAACTAATATGCACATGCCTAGAAATACATGTAGGCGCCAGAAAACTGGTGCCTACATGGACAGAAGACAATCAGTGCCTGCACCAGGGCCTGCATCAATTTATGCATGTGTAGGTGCCATGATGGAGCACTGACAACTCAAAATTGGTGAACACATTTTCACCTGTTACATGCAAACTCAACCAAGTCCAATAGAGCCTCAGAATTTTTTGATGACTAGTCATCTCTGAGGCATGAGGGACTTGGGCATTTCAATTGTCAAGAACAAACAAAATGTGGTTTCAAAGGCTTTGTATTGTATTTATGGCAAAAATGTGCAGAGAAACAACACATGGTCAGGTAAACACCCCAAATTTTACATCTTGATGAGATTTTCCTAAAAATCAATTCCTCTCAAATTTGCTCTAACTTCAAACCCTTGAACAGCTACAGATGAAGGTCAAAAATATCCTAAACTAATCCAAAGTATAGCCAACAATTGATGTAATCAAGCTTGTTGTATGCATAATCTTACTATCTGCGGAGGCTTTTGCGGGATTATCTTTGGAATATATGTTCAGCCAACACGCAAAGACCCTGTGACGGTGTGGTGATCTATTTATCAGATCAATCAAGAAAATCAATCATTGGTTGTTTACCAATGCAGTAGGAAAATTCAGTATAAAAGAAAATTCAAAATTAAAGAATCTGATCAATTGAATCTCTTTTGGGCTTATGTATTGGTCATTAGGTCATGATTAGGTCATCATATTTCAAAAAACTTATTAAGATCATTATAATTTATTCACAAACAGATTACAAAAAGAAAGAAAAGAAAAAGATAAGAAAAAATCAAAAATATAGGTATATAGGTATATAGGCTGGAAAATGGTTTTTAGGGTAGTAATATTAGGTTTATGGGTTTTATGAGGTTAGAATATGAAAGAAAAGCATTTTATTCTACAGTAACAACTTTAATCTTGATGGTTGACAAGGAGAAATGAAAGTTATTAGGAAAATGGTACTTTTTTGAAGCTGGCAAACAAGGGTTTACAGGTAGTTCACATATGTAACAGTGGTTTTAACAATATTTAAGGTTGCAAAGAGGATTTTCCAGGATTTTTAGGGCTATAGATGATGCTGTCATATTACATGAGCAAGGAAGAAGGAGTTACAGCTGTGAAAAGGGGTAAAAAGGTGTGTATTTTGTTGAAAATGGAAGGTTTCAGCTTATTACTTATGTTGAATGACGTCAGAATAGAATGGTAAATGGCCCATTTAACACAGAAAAGTAGTTTACATAATTCAAAACCTTGTAACAGAGGTGTGCGAATGAATTTATAAGGGAAACAATAAATTGGTGTGAACTTCAAAATTTACACTTACATGCATACATGTAACAACATTTACATACAAAGACCTTAACTTCACAGCTCAATGACTCATTCATTACTCAACAGCTCAGAAACACCTGATATGGCAGCAATTATTGATCAGTATCACAAGTTCTACAAGATGCACTTTAGTAATCCAAAATTGGACCCCATTTGAAAAAATCCGTAATCTCAAAAATAGGTACTCAGCTAGTTTACCAGGAAAAAACCACCTGCATTCATCATAAGAAGTGCTGTACATCATACAACTACATCATTGATCACTTTTGGCTGCGTAAATGACATCATACATTAGTAACAAGATCATTACACTGCTTCATCATATGGGTTTTTGGGGTTTTTGGGCGGGATTGATTGGTTCTTGAGGCTGTTGACCATTGTAGGAGTTGTTACACATTAATATATATACTCACTGGTGATTTTGGGATTGCTGTTCCCTTTTTGGCATCTTATACTGTTTGCGCCTTCAAAGCAAGGAGAAATCTATGTACGTGTGTTAAAGACTACAAGTCTCTTTGGGAATAATACTTAGAACAGTATTGCTAGTAATTAGAATTTTTTGGTGATCTTTTGCACTTAAAATCTGGAATAATACTTATTTCAAGTATTGAGAAACATTTCTCTGGTGCCTTTATCTTTTTCTCTGTTATCACAAAGTGGTCAGTAAGTGCCCTTGTGCTGGTTTCTTTGAAGAAGGTAGTCTTTAGGCAACTTCTACTATCCTCACACTAGTAGAATATTCCTTCTTAGGTGTTGTAAAGTTCTTGTTGAGCTTCATATACTACAACGGGCTGTTGCACCAGCCAAATAACAACAACACTGTGATATGCTGCAGCACTGTTTCAACACCACCACAGTGCAGTTGCAGGGTAAAAAAAATTGACTACAAAGACGGTGTGATTCAAAAAATTGGTGTGCACCACGGGCGGCTGTAGTATTTGAAGCTCAACAAGAGCTTTACAATACCTAAGAAGGGATAATCTACTAATGTCTGAATAGTAAAAGTTGTTTAAGTTTATCCTTCTTCTTTCATTCTTTTGTAACAGACACCATTCTTGTAGATTTAAAAAAAATCCTTCTTCATCAATTCCATTCTTACAAAGGTATGTTAATCATTTTCACTCTGTTAATATTCTCATTTTTTCCAACTTTTTCTCTTCTAATAATGTTCTTATCAA